TTTTATCATAATTTAAGCTATTATTAATATATCAAACTTTAGAATTATATACTTTAAATAGGTAAACTGTAGAGTATGTGAATCATACCTTAATAAAACTGATTTAAAAAGTGTATTCAAATGCTTCGACTGACATCTAATACCCTGCTTTTTTTTTTGGCGGAACTGGGGATTGAACTCAGGCCCTTGTGCTTGCCAGGCAAGTGCTTATTCTACTGAGCTATCTCCCCGGCCCCTGATACCCTGCTTTTTGTTAACCTGTAATAAAGATAATAGTGCCAAGAAAATTAGTGATCCCAAACCAAATGGTAGCGATCCTGCCTTCAACTGTGATGCACTGATTAGAAGAGGGTTACGGAGACTTTGGAAAGTGCTTCCGGGGTAACAAGCCCCATTTAGCAGGACAAACACCACACCCTGTCCCTGCCATACCTCCAACTGGACTTTGGGACATGGCAAGTGAAGGGCTCCACTGCACACAGGCTGGTGGCCATGGCGCTCAGGGGCTCTGCCTCCCGAGGGCCCAGCTACAATGCGAGAGGCACCGACTCATCACCCAGATACTCAGCAAAGGCCTCTGGAGCAACACTGCTGCCCGCAGGGTCTGCGGTACACAGCGGCCTCTCCACAAGTGAAGAGGAAAAGCTGCGCGGCGGCCTAGGGAAGCGGGTGTGTCGATTCTAACGCTTGAGCACGGGCGCCTCCACTCCCGGAGGGGCAGTGCGTACTTACTGGCTCAGTGAGGGTGCTGTCCTTCTCCAGAAACTGCACAACACAGTACGCCAGCTGGGAAGTAACAGGGGAGCAGCGTTAGTGCTTGGCCTTCCCACGGACGTCGCTGCAAAACACCTTCCTCCTGCCGGGCAGGACCTGATGTGGCCCGCATGTGCAACCTGCCCCAGGAGTCTGAGCGGGCATCCCAGGGAGACCCTGGGGCTGATGGTCAACCCGTAACTCTTTCCCCATCAATCAGGGATAAATTTGAAGGAAAAAAAAAAGCAACATCTTTTACACTAACACCACTGGCAAGTGGACCCAGCGTGTGGGATTCTTGTGGTCCTTTTGAAGATTAGAATGAGCAAGTAATCCAACATCTGGAAAAAAATTAAAATTTGGTTCTGTCTTAAATTGCTTAACTATGAATTTATTTAGTGCAACAATTAATATAACATACTGCCTGGGCATAAAAATATTACCAGTTAATACGGTTGGAGGAAGGAAGTAAATCTACCCCAGGAAGCCACTGTCTTGAATCAGTCACAGGACCTACTTTCTGTCATTCACACCACACTGCCACCTCCCAAATGAGGCCTCATAGATCGCAGTCCTTGGTGCTTAGAGCACAATGGCAAGCCTGCCAGGGTCCGGCTGGGTGACAGCTGAAAGTGACAAATACATTGCTGCCACTCAAGCTGCAGCCAGGGTAGCTACGTCCTGTCTAGGAGAGTGTGAAGGAGACCCCCATCTCCTAGGCAACCACCAACCAGCCAGGTAGTAACCACTCGCCCACTTATCAGTTAACTATAGGAAACTCTAGCAGTTTAAAAAAACCCATTTTTTGCCTATTTAAACTGTGTTGAGGCTGGGGACATAGCTCAGTAACATAAGTGCCTGCCTGGTAAGCACAACGTCCCAAGTTTGATCCCCGGTACCACCAAAAAACCCTCCAAAACCCCCCTGCATTTTGGGCTAGTGATATAGTTCATTAGAGAAAGTAAATGCCTGCCTGGCAAGAACAAGGTTCCAAGTTCAGTCCCCTGAACTACAAAACAAACAAACAAACAAACAAACAAACAAACTGTGTCACAGGCCATTTGCCTGCCCATGACCAATAGGCTTCTGTCTCTAGAGTGTTGGTTTTAAGTTTCACAGAAGAAAAGCTGTCCCCTGTGAAGCTCCCAGCTCCTTCAGAGACAGCCAGTCCTTTCTCTGGGATCTGGCTACTTCCAGGAGCAATCTGCACCCTGCTGTTACTTCTGCCATCGCAACGGGCCTATTACCAGCAGCACCAGCCCCCCCCGCCCCCACCCCAGAGGCTGGAGGCGGTGGTCAGCACTGCCTGCCCTTACCTGGGGATGGTAGACACTCAGGGATTTCACCTTGTGCAAAGGCAGTAACACCTTCAATAAGAAAATCTTGTGCTCTTCTTTTAGTGGTAAGGCAAATCCATTAATTATACTGTCAAGACAGAATTTATTCAAGATTTGAATATTTACAAATTTCACATCATAATCAAATCTCTTTTTTTTTTCCTTCAGAATCTTGAACTGCTAATGTTCACTGAATTGCCAGAGAAGCACAGGTGAAAAGTACTCAAGATATTTATCTTGGTTCCCTATGTGGGAAACAGTGGGCTGGGGGTCTAGTGTCAAACTGATAGTTTACCAATCAAGAAAATAATAGCAAGCAAGAACTTTCCTCGGATTAAGATGATAAAAATCTTGAAATGTTAATTGCAAGTACACATATGAAAAAACTATAGTCAAAGTAATTTGAAATAATTAGCATTTACTCAATACCACAAATGTACAAGCTATTTTTCTAATAAGCTTTTCTTATCAGCCTTCTTCTGTAACTATTTTTAACACTGCGCCTGGGGAAGTAACTGAAATCCCATAGTTTCCATAGTAATGACTTCGAGGTGTATGATATACCTAGGTAACAATACAGATGACAGACTTGTCACTTGGTCACTGGCCACCAGCCACACAAAGACTTACCTTCCCAGTATCTCCAGTAATTCTGCTATGCCATTGTGATGCTCTGTTTCATAAATAAACCTATGAAAAACCAATTTGTCCATTAGACTCAAACCTGAAGTAACACTGGGAAAGACTACTATCCTCTGCACAAGAAAATGAAGCCGGCAGGAGGGAAGCTGGGTGCAGGCAGGGCGGTTGCTTGTGAAGCCCTCCTCGGCACCGGGGCGCGCCCTGCGTAGAGAGCCTGCCCAGCACCAGCAGGCTTGGGTTTCGTCCCCAGTGCTGCATGAAACAAATGATCAAAAATGAAAACCCAAAAGGCAAGCAAACGAACAAACTACACACAGCAACACTGGAGGCGCAGCTGGGCGCCGCACCAAGGTGCCCGCAGCCTGGAGAGGCACCCGCCCCACAGCGGAGAGCGGAGAGCGAGAGTGGCCCCGCTCACGTGTGCTCCCTGGATCGCAATGACAGTATTTTACATTGTTTGTTTTTTTTGTCTGAGTTTTGAGACAGGGTCTTGCTATGTGGCCTCAGAACTTTCTAGGTAGTCCAGGCTGGCCTGAAAGTCACAGCCCTGCTGCCTCAGTCTGCTGTGTGCTGAGATTACAGGTGTTGGGCACTGCGCCTCGCTGTAGTATTTTATTTTGAACAACTTCAAGCACTCAGGACAGTGTTAACACTTTTATTGTGTACACTCACATTTCAACCCTCCAGACTCAATCATTTACAATTTGCTCTGTTTGTTCTGTATACATATATACCGATTCATTCTTCAGTCTGTCCATTAATCTTTCTGTCTGCCCATCGATCTGCCTCATATTTTTGCTGCATTTCAGTGTGAGCTGATGTCTTACTCAGTTTTAAAGCTCTCACCAGTGAGCACAGTTGCTGCGAAGGATAGATGCTCTTTCCCGACACCTCCTAGGCCGCGTTGCTCGCTTCCCGCTGACTTCGCCACACTCCCTGAGCTGACCGCAAGTGGCTGTCAAGGTGCCCGTCCACCCAGCCCCTCATTCCCGTCCTCCAAGCAGGCTCCTCCTGCTGAGCTGCCAGCCCACATACGCCGCCCTCCCGTGCACTTATTTCCTTCGTCTCCCTCCAGACACGCTTCTCAGTTCTGTGTTTGTGGTGCTAGGGCCAAGCCTGGCATCTGTTTGAGGCTTAAAACACATCTGTTGCAAGAACTGGGCACAAGGACAGGGCACAGGGACACATCAGGAAGCAGGAAACAGAAACAGCCTGTGCCTGCTGCTCCTGCCCCTCTGCGCTGTCTACCCTGCCATGCTGAGGGCTGGTGTGAAGCCACAGACACGTGGGGAAAGGCTCCTGCCAGCACACGAGACAGCTCTAAGCCAAAGTAACTTTGTGAAGATTTAATTGTCTGACTGAAATTTCAGACCCTGTCTGAAAGAAACAGAGCAGTGACCTTAAGTTAAAGAACAAGCAAGCATTCACAGACATGAAGCAGGTGCCCTCGAGGACAGGGTCTGGACACCTGCAGGTCCCCAAATGGCAAGGATCCATGCAGGGACTACGGCTTGAACTGAGCCCAAAGGTAGGATTCTGACAGATTCACAAAGATGGGGTATGACAGGAGAAAGAACTAAGTTCTGTAAAATGAGGTGATGGGGAGGGGTGGGCAAGGCAGCAAGGCCACTGGGTAAACTGAGGCATCAGGACCGCTGAGCAGTGAAACACTGACATGGTGACGCTTGGCACGGTGGTGCTTGCCTGTATTCCTGGCACTCAGAAGCCAGGAGATGGCTGTGAACTAGAGGCCAGCATGTGCTCGAGGCCAACCTGAACTGCACAGTGAGACCCTGCCTAAAAAAAAAGAAGAAGGAGGAGGAGGAGGAGGAGGAGGAGGAGGAGGAGGATGTTCTTGGTCTGGAAATGCAGCAGGGAGTCTTGGGAGACCTGGCAACAAGGTGCACAGAAGGTGCCTCATGGTTACATGAGCTCCAAGAGACCTGGCTTCCTAAAGCAGTGACTGCGTTCTTTCTGACCATCCCTTCGGAATTTCTAGTTATTCTAATTCAATGTGAGGTACAAAAGAGAAATCAAGCAGAGTTCTTCTGGCTTTTCTAAAGGAAGCCAGGCGTGGTGGCTCATGCCAGTAATCACAGCACTCAGGAGGCTGAGGCAGGGGGATCTTTGTGAATGTGAGACCAGCCTGGGCGATGAAGTGAGCTCAACTCCAGCCTGAACTGCACAGTGGGACCCTGTCTCAAAAAACCAAAAAACTGGGCCGGGGAAATGGCTCAGTGGAATAAGCACTTCCCTCGCAAGCGCAAGGGCCTGAGTTCAATCCCCGGTTCCGCCAAAAAACCAAACCAAACCAAAACAAAAAACCAAATCCAAACAAACAAAAAAACAACCTAAATAAATAAAATAGAAAAATAAAGAAGAGGCCGAGCCGGAGGAAAGCTATGGAGCTGCACTCAGGGCCGGCCGGGCAGGTGCTTCCTCCAGCGGAAGAGGGCCCCTCTGATGTCCGGCTGGAGACAGAGCTCATCCATCTGGGCCTCACAGGCACGGGTGGCCTGCCTCCGTCCCCCAGGCCTGGCGTCTCTGTGCCTGCCTTGCCAACAAAGGTGGGACTAATCTGCACCGGCCGCAGGCTGCAGTCGTCCCTCTGAGAACCTGTGGCTTCCGGGGCCTCCCTGCTGGAGGCCGTGGTTGCTTGCAAGCTGCATGCCTGAGGCCTGACGCTCATGCAGCCACGTGTCACCACAGGCCACGTGGACAGGGACCCCAGTGGAGCCATGCGCACGAGCGAGAAGTCCCAGCGGACAGCACGTGGAGGGGAACAGTGCAGAGCCCAGGGCAGGTGACAGGTGTATAAGAACAGCAGACGGAGACCTGAGGCCTACACTGGCAGCAGAGAGCAGGGGGTGAGGACTTGCCTGCCCCACTCCTGCGTTCACGCCTGACTGAGCAGGAGTGGGCATGGGGCGCGGGCAAGCCACACATTCAGAATGCCTTTTCTGCAAGGCACTGCTGTACAGGTGGACAGCCTGCCCCGAAATACTCAGGATCGGCAATGTTTTAGACACTAGAATTCTTCAGATGTTAGAACATTTGTGTGTACGTTCATATATATGTACTATATACTTAATAGATTATATACATTTAATATAAATGTATTTATTATTTAAAATCTCAGGGATGGTACCCAAGTTGAGAGCTGAAATTCATTTATGCCTTTTATATGTAGCCTGAAGGTAATTTTATATAATATTTTTAATGTTCGTGATTTTAAATTTCTTTTTAATTTAAAAATTACTTTCTTGAGACAGGATCTTGCTCTGTTGCCCGTCGGCCTGGCACTCCTGGGCTCAGGCGCCCTTCCTGGTGGAGCCCCCCAGCTGTAGGGTGCAGATGTGCAGGCACCTGGTGGTGTCTGCGTTTCTCTGGTGGCCTGTCACGAGGCTCACTGGGCATGAACCCAGTCGGGTTATGTCAGCACAAAGCTCCAAAATTTGGAGTGCTTTGGATTTCAGATCTGGACTGGTGGATCCCAGATGCTCAATTATATTACACTGATAAAGGAACCGAATATATCTCTCAAGAAATTTGCTTTTTTTTTCTTATGTGAAAATGATGTTTAAGACCCAAATCAATTCAAATCTAAATAATATGCTTGCTTTGGGTTGTATATAGCAAGACAATTGTAGACAAGATTACTTAAAGAAGAAAAAAAAAAACCCCACAAAAATATCACAGTCTAGCACTGATCCTTTGGTGTGGACTCAACTGAATTATGTGTAATTCCTTAATGTGGTGTTCCACAGACTTGTGGTTCTGCTATCTGAACAAAACCCCCTTGTGCTGGGGAAACCGAAACACTGTAGGCCAAGCTTTAATTTTAGGACTAAAAGGCAGACGTCTAACTCACACTTGTTCGATGTTATTTAAATCCCATATATGACGATCTGATCTATAGGATATTAGCCACATAATGATCCTGTTGAACAAGAGGATGCCACAAGTAGAAAACAGGCACACAGCATCCCACCATCCAGGACTGACACCACTGTCTGACGACAGCTCGAGAGCTGAGGTTAGGCTGCACTTGGCCCTGGGCACCTTGACAGAAGTGGGACACAGGGAACTTGGAAGGAGTTCAAAGGAAAGCCATACACAGAGAGAGGGGCCCAAAGTGCTGATGTGCTATGGGGGATGACAAGGGGCCAGAACTGATCCCAGCAACTCTAAGCGCTGACTGTATCTTGGCTGGAAGAGCTGGAAGGGCTGTGTTCTTGGGTTGTGTGGACCATGGTAAGCTCTGGGGGCTGGGACGGGAGGCAAAGCGGGGGTTGGCTGGACAGGCTGCGGGGAAGGGAGGGCTAGCCTGCCCCTGTACAGTGTTACCCAGGTCCCGTACATGACTGGATGTGACCTGCCCTCCACGGTCCTAACCCGCAGGCACAGGACATGACATCGAGCGCAACAATGTACAGCAGCACAGCTTACCTATAAAATATGTTATTTATCTGTTTCCTGATGTATGCTCTCAGGCCTAGGAACTTCCCATAGATTCTGTGAAGGGTGGTTTTGAGAAAATCTCTCTCCCGAGGATCCTCACTGTCAAAAAGCTCTAGAAGCTTCAAGAAGAAAGAGAGACTCAGTGGCATGCAGGTGGCTCTGGGTCTGGCCACAGTCCCGCCGTGTGCTTACCTGCAGCACAAACCTCTGGTCGATGTATTTCTTCGCTGTGTTAGGCTGGAAATCTGGAGACTCTAAAAATCTTAAGAAAAATTCATAGACAAGCTAGGAGGAAACAGCAACAATGAGTCAGCGTGGTATTTTACCACCTGGAGATTGAATACACTGCAAGTTCAATCTTTATTTGCCTGAAAATACAAGGCCTTAAATAAGGCTCACCTCTATGGAATTCATACTGAATTACGTGGCTTAACCTAACCACCACTGGTGATGGCCACTGTTCCACCTAGTCAGGCCCACAGACTGTCCCTGGAGTGGCACTCAGCAAACGTCCTTCATGGCCTCCTATGTCACCCTTGCTCTGCTTGCTGCTCAGAACGGAAAGGGCTCAGCTGCCCCCAAACAGGCTGAGGCCAATTACTGGGCTGGGACTGACCACCGGTGCGTCCACCTCTCATCTCACCAAGTGACCACACTGGGCTGACCTTGCGGCCTGTGGGTCAGGACCACGTGGAGAGACCAAGGGCCATGGCAATATCTGGCTCCCTGTCCCTGGCCACTGCTCTACCTGGTTCCGGCCCTGTTTCACCACCTCTGCCTTCTTTGGGGTGACCCAGCCTCCCCGCTTGCCCATCTGGCATTGCTCTGCTCATGCTACCCTGAGGCTTCCTAACCAGTCAGTCTTGTGCCTCACAGAGGGTAAGAGAAAGGTGTTGCGCAGCACCAAGGCTTGTGTGGACGTGCAGTGGCACAGGGACGGCTGCGCTTTGCCCCTAGGCCCAGCTCCAGGGTTATCCACACGGTGGGCAGTGCTACTGCAGACAGACTCGACGATTCCACGTTGGGTAGGTTTGTACAGAACACAGACATACACACATGTACACATATACACACATGCACTTCGTTCTGCTCAAACATTCTTCTTGTATATCTGGGTTGGCCAGTTCTGTGCTACTGAAAGTCAGGGGTTGCTGGGCAATAGCTCAAAGTGGGGTCCTGGGTCATGACCGTGCTCCCCAGACCCCCTGGCGGGCTCTGTACTGAGTCTGCCCTCTGGGACCAGTACCTGTAGATGAGGCCAGGCTGCTTCTAACGTTGGTTCGTCTTCCTCAGGGTCAAATTCTGCTCCCGTAGGGTTGGAGGAAGGTGGCAAGGTCCGAAACATGTTAACTGCGAACTGAAGTCCACAGAGTCTATGATTACAACCAGGACATTTGAAGAAATTTACCAAGGACATTTTAAAGCACACTGAGTGGCTCTGACAGCAGCACTTCCAGAGGTGCAGAGGCTTGTCGCTATTCTCCACATTCAGTAGCAGCATGGGTCCCCAGAGGGAGCTGAGGTCGGAACCACAGCAGGAAACAGATCACCCAGGGCAGGTGGCTGCCAAGCTGACCCCTGAAGTCTTTTTGGTACTCGACTACCAAATGGGCAAAGGCAATGACGGTGACAAATGCTGACAGGGTTCCTCCAGCTCGAGGGCCTGCGTAGCACAGCAAGCCAGTTCTGCTGCCCAGCCGCAAGCCGAAGCTCTCTGGACCAGCCCTGGCCAGGCAGTGGGGACAGGAGTCAGCCCTGGGTGTCCAGCCCTCTGATCCACCGCTTGTGCCCCACCCCGAGGCAACTTTACTGTTTTAAATGTAGGGCTGTGATTTGTTTACAAATGTTCTACCTGGAAAACACAGGCCGACTGATTGGCATGGCTGGACCATCAGATACAATAGCCAAAATATAAGCCATGAATGAAAACTTCAGTGAAAATTTAAAGTATAAAATTTTATTATAGTACAAGACATGTTGGCATTAATCTTCAAAATCTTCCCTTGCTTCAAACACATTTACCCCATCATTCTTGCCCCCTTTCCTTTTTTTTTAAATATGTATTTAGTACAAGATCTATAGATTCCCTGACAAGCGCAAGGGCCTGAGTTCAATCCCTGGTTCCACCAAAAACAAAAACAAACAAACAGATCCATAGGGTCTCACTACACAGATTGGACTCGTAGTGATTCTCCTGTTTTCAGCCTCCCAAGTGCTGGGACTACTTGTGTGTACCACCACGCCCAGTCTCACTTGCCATCTCGGCACATCCTAGGGGAGGGGCCGCGTGGCATGCTGGGGATTGAACCCCTGTCCCTGTTTCTACCTAGGCAGGCACTCTGATCCCCTGAGTTACCTGGCTGGCCCTCCTTGCCCTTTCTAAAGCGCCTCTGAAAGCCCTAGTTCGCGAATGCCGCACTTGCGCTGTCCTAGCAGCCTGCAGTTGATTCTAAACGTCTTTGCTTCAGGGTTCTCCTGACTTTGGGGAACGGCTGGCAGTGGCATGGTGCCAGGGAGTCAGACGGATGAAGACCTGTGGTGGTGCTTCCACAGCGCTGCCCTTCTGTTGGAGGGCATCTGGCAGCAGCATTTGCCGCATTTTTGACCACACCTTGAAAAGATATCCATGGATGTGACCTGTAGGACTCCAAAAGTGGCAGGAAATGACAGGCCTGGTGGTGCACGCCTGTAATCCCAGTTCTTGGGAGGCTGAGGCAGGAGGATTGCTGTAAGTTTGAGGCCAGCCTGGACTACAAAGTGAGTTGAAGGCCAGCCTGAACTGCATAGCAAGACCCTGTCTTAAGAAGACAAAAACAAAACCAAAAAACCAAACCAAACCAAATCAAAAAACCCACCACCACTATACACTGCCCCCCACCAAAAGTGGCAGGAGGCCAGGTATGGTGGCACATGCCTGTGACTCCAATATTCAAGAGGTAGAGGCAGGAAGATCACTGCAAGTTCTAGGCCAGCCTGGGCTACCTAGTGAGTTCAAAGCCAGCCGGAGCTACACTGCAAGACCCTGTCTCAAAACAACAACAATAGCAAAACCCAAAACCAAACAAAAAAGTGGCAGGAATGATAGTGTGTGTGAAGAGAGGGAGAGTATTCTGAAGGGGATTAATAGGGACGACTTGGCAGTGCTGGGGATGAACCCAGGGCCTTCCTCACACTAGGCAAGTTCCAAACTACTAAGCTACATCCCCAGCCACATCTTTTACTGCAAGAAATTAAAAAATTTGTTTATTTTTATTTTTTAAAATTTTATTTATTTATTTATTTGTGTGTGTGTGTGTGTGTGTGTGTGTGTGGCCAGCTCAGCCCACCAGGGGGCGGGGCTGGCTGGCATGTGGTGCTGGGGGATTGAACCGCGGTCCCTGTGGTTTGCTAAGCTTGTTCTAAGTAGGTGCTTTAGACCACTGAGCCATCTCACCGGCCCCTGAAATTAAAAAATTTAAACATGCACCATACTTTTGAGCACACCTCATGCAAAGTGCACAGCAGCAACCTCTCCATCATCACTAAGCGACTACCAGCTGTGACAGATAGGCGGCCCCTCCAACCTATAAAGCCCCTCGGAAGTGCACCCCCAAACTGATGATGGGTGCTGCGAATGCCAGCATCAGGAACTGCCGCTCACAGCTCACAGCTCACAGCTCACAGCAATTTACAAGTCGACAGTGATGGTATGCATAGCCCAGGTTAACTGCTGATAAACTCAAAGTGTTTCTTTTGCTCTGGACTTCCAAAGCAGTGTGGAGCTCTAGGCTGCCTTCATGGCAGCAGAATTTGAAGTCATCGTGGGGAAAGGAACCCTAGTGCCTGGTCCTCAACCGCCTGCTGAGGGCAAGAGAGCCTCTAGGAAGAGCGCCCCTTGGTCACCCTATTAGCTGTAATACCCAGTAATTACCTGAGGGCTGTGAGAAACGCTGGATTAAACCTGTAGCTCTTGGTTGTAATATAATTACAGGCCTAATTGCACCCTTAATTGCAAGCTTCTCCATAATGTCAAGGTGGGTTGTTCCTCGCGTGTTTTCTCTGGAACATTACCTCATCCGTAACTGGGCAGCCTGGGGACTCCCTGAACATTCACCTCGCTGGCCCAGCCCCTGCAGAATATGCAAGGAAAGGGCCTCTCCCAGCTCTGCCATCACCTTCTGTGTGGCCACAGCTGCTTTCAAAGAATCCAACTTCCCTCAAAACAGAAGCCAGGATATGCCACTTAGGGGAAAAAACTACACTTAAAATTCTCATTTGAGTAGCTTGCTATTTTTACCATCTATTCAAATGCAAGTTGAGTATCCTGTCTGAAATGCTTAGGACTAGAATGTTTTGGACTTTTTTTTTGCTTTGCAATATTTACATACACAGAGGTAGCTTGAAGATGGGATTCAAGTTTAAATAAAAGCTCATCTATGTTTCATATACAACTTAAACACCTAGTCTGAAGGTACATATAAAAAAATCTTTTTGCACTTAACTTGCACACACATATTTGTATTTTCTTTTCTGTATTTTAGGGAAGGGTCTACAGGGTGTTCAGGATCTCACTACTAGATCAGACTTGTAGTGGTCGGACAGTTTACAGCCTCCCAAGAGCTGGGATTACAGGCACGCGATACCACGCCCAGTCTCAATTGCTATGGGGGGTGCCTGTAGCAATTGGCACAGGGGGCAGGGCCAGCCTGGGGATCAAACCTGCTTGCAGGCATTTAATTTGCTGAGCTATTTGGCCGGCCCTTGTATTTTCCTTTTAACTTGAAGGAATCCCCACCCTATCTCTCTGGAGATAGCGACTGAATCCTGTGCTGTCTCACTGAGCTCCATCCCAACACTTCTCTATATTTTCTATTATCAGATAGTCTTCTTAAGACACTAAGCTCCCCAGGCTGGGCTTGAACTTGCAATTCTCCCACTTCAGTCTCCTACAGTGATGGGATTACAAGCCTGCACCACCAGGACTGGCGTTTCTTTTCTTTCTTTTTTGGTACCTGGAACTGAACTCAGGATCTTGCACCTCCCAGGCAGGTGCTTGTGTCACTGAGCTATGATCCCAGCTCCTTCTTTCTTTTCTTTACTTTTTTTTTCTTTTCTCTTCCTTCCTTTCTTTTATTTGATCATTCATTCATTTTTTGAGCCAGGTCTTGCCATATTGTCCAGGGTAGCCTTGAAGTCTAGATCCTCTTGCCTCAGCCTCTTGAATGCTAGGATTACAGGTGTGCACCACCACTGCCTGCTAACCTGTAGGAATTTTGTACACTATTTATTTTGTATTTTAGGGAAGGGTCTACAGGGTGTTCAGGATCTCACTACTAGATCAGACTTGTAGTGATCCGCCAGTTTACAGCCTCTCAAGAGCTGGGATTATAGGCAGGTGCCACCATGCCCAGTCTCAATGGCTGTCTCAATGTGCCCTGGGGGTGGGGCCGGCCCTGCAGGCCCAGGGATCAGAGCCCTGGCCCCTGCCCCCGCTTGCAGGTGCTTTAATCCACTGCGCTATTTGGCCGACTCTCCTAACTTTTTTTTTTAAGGGCACTTTGACTCTAGCCAGTCACATGAAGTTAGGTGCAGAATTTCCTACTTTTGGCATCATGTCAATGCTCAGAAAGTTAGATATGACTTTCAGATTAGGCACCACAGTGCAACATTCAATTGCAGTTGAGGGTATAGGAATAAAAAAATACATAATTTTGTAACCAAAAGAAATTTGGTTGCAGTTTGTGAAACAATGACTATTGCTATGATCATTTTACAAATGTATAATACCATCTCCACATAAGAATGAAATGTGAGGGGCCAGGGAGATGGCTCAGTGGAATAAGTGCTTCTCTGGCAAGTGCAAGGGCCTGAGTTCAGTCCCTGGTTCCGCAAAAAAAAAAAAAAAAAAAAAAGAGAAATGTGAATAATTCTCTGTGTGAGTTTATTTTTAAACTTTGGCTTTAGAGTTTAAGAAGAGAAAACCTATACCTGAGACATAATAATTTGCAACATTTATAATCAATTCCATTACCGTCATTTAAAATAACAATGGAACGCTGGGTGTGGTGGTGCACACCAGTAACCCAGCACTCAGGAAGCTGAGGCAGGAGGATCATTGAAGCCTGGACTACAAAGTGAGCTCCAGGCCAGCCTGATCTGCATAGTAAGACACTGTCTCAAAAAGACAAAAACAACAAAAAACCACCACCACTACCAACAACAAAAACCCCAGTGGATTTAATTTTTTTCTCACTTACTGTAGGTCAAAGGCTAGTTTTTAAAATTTTTGTTTTTCTGAGACAGATTTTTCCTGACTCATCCAGGCTGGCCTTGAACTTGAGACTCTCCCGCCTCAGCTTTCCCAGTGCCGGGGTTAGA